AAGACACCTCCGCTTAGCCTTACCTTCATACCTGCTATGCTAGATTTGATTAAAGAATCATGGGACAACCCCCTTTATCATTACAAATTTCAAGACATGTGGACAATCATTATAAAACTTATGGTCCAGACACTGCCTTTTTATCTAAACATCCTACACCAAATTCAATTATTGTGGAATCCAAATCAGTCCAGAGCTCGCAACAAATCATCAGTTGCACCTACCAACCGTGAGGGAAGAAGGTTAGATATTCTAGGCAGACATTCTTTACTCCCTCACTTCATTTCTTGAGAGTCACCAACTGTCAAGCCGCCGTGGGAGCTTACCATAGGCAACTAGGGAATAAGATCCTCCCTGTTATTCAAGTGGCTCCTGAGTCTTCCAAGACTGGAGCCCTAAATATTCATGCTGAGGCTTCTGCACTGGCCAAACAGCAAAGAATTGCCTCCTGCCACACTGCTGATGCTGTGTCTAAGGTAATGGCTACATCTATTGCTCTTAGATGCCATGCCTGGCTTAGGTCGCCTGGCATATCTGATGACACCAGATTGAGAACTGAAGACCTTCCATTCGATGGCACTGGCCTTTTCAACGAAAAAATAGACGAAGTAATGGACAACCTTCATAAAATTCAGAAAACAGCTTGATCATATTACACCCAGCAAACATTGCAATACCAGTGCCCCCAGTACCACAGACAGTCTTCGCCCTTCTTTGCCATTGATGGGGGACTCCTTCCGCTGATGTTTTTGCCACCAAGAACAATATCAAGTCCCAACTATATTGTTCCCGCACCTGTACTGATTTCTTTGAAAATATCATTTTTAGTAGCCATAATGTTGGCTAAATGTGCTAGCAAAGTGGCAGTTCTAAGATTAGATCCACCTTTTTTGCAGTTCCATCCAGACAAGGTCACTCTATGCCCAGATGTTTCATTCTTACCTAAGGTTGTATCTGATTTTCGTCTTAATCAGCCTATGACGTTGCCTACCCTATTTTTATCTCCCACTACACCTCTCAAGCGTACACTCCACATGCTTGATGTTAGATGTTCCTTGGCTTTTTACATTGACAGAACCAAAATGTTTAGGAAAGCATCAAGGCTCTTCCTATGTTTCATGACCCTAATAAAGGTTCACCAGCTTCGCCTCAAACGTTGGCTAGGTAGATTGTTCAAACAATTTCACTCGCATATGAGTTGGCAGGCAAAACACCACCTGAACCATTGTTGTGGGTTTTTCGGGCTCTTTGGCCGTGTTCTGAAGGTTGTTCTTCCTAACGTTTCGCCAGTCTCTGTGGCCGGCATCTTCAGAGGACAGCACTCAGCTGTCCAAAGAGCCCGAAAAACCCACAACAACCATTAGATCCCGGCCGTGAAAGCCTTCGTAAATACACCACCTGAACCCTTGAAGGCTCACTCAGCTAGGGCACTGTCTACCTCCACTGCCTTCCAACGAAGAATCAAAATCCCTCACATCTGCCATGCAGCTACATGATCCAACCCATCAATGTTTGTAACACATTACCGTTTGGATGTCCGGGCGAAGAAAGATGCTGCTTTCGGCAGAGCTGTCTTGACTTCCTTTCTACTGTGAAGTCCCACCATCCAGTAAGTGAGCTTCCAGTCACCCAATTGTGTGTATTCACAGAGACCATGAAGAAGAAAGAGAGGTTACTTACCTGTAACCATGGTTCTTCTAGTAATCCTCTGTGAATTCACACATCCCGCCCTGCGTCCCCTCTGTCTGTCACGTTGTCTTCTTATATAGCTCTTTTACAGCGGCAGACTCTTTTAGGAACTGAGGGGATTTCCCGTGGGCAGAGCATGCGCTCCATGGGGGAACATCCCACTAATCATATGTCTTTAAGCTCTAGAAACTTCCGAGAGGTCCTGCACAGGTGCAGAACAACCCAATTGTGTGAATTCACAGAGGACCGCTAGAAGAACCATGGTTACAGGTAAGTAACCTCTCTTTTTTAATGTTCTCACTGAATTTCTCTGTGGAGAGGAGCTTCACAGTAAGGTTTTTATTGTCAGCAATAAAATAAAATTCACTTCTCATTATCTTTTTTTAGAGTTCAGCGATGTGCTATGTTACAGTTTTCAGAATTCCATGAAAGACTTCTTAACACCCTTTGCAAAAAGACAGATGATGGAGTTGTCACCGAACATGCTCAGAGTCTTGTATTAGATCTGTTATGTTGGCTGGCAGGAGTTCAGTCCAATGGACCGGGCAGGTGAAACGACTTTAATGTTATTTTTCATTAGAAAATGTTCTCAGTCTTAAAATTTATGCTGAAAACCTTTTTTGTGTTGTTTTGTTTTAGTTCAAAAGAAGCAAATGAGAGCCTGTTATCTAAAACAAAGATGTGTCTCTTCGATATAGTACGTGTTTGCTTTTTTGAAGCAGGACGGAGCATAGCTCACAAATGTGCACGGTTCTTAGCTCTTTGTATAAGGTTGGTAATGATACAACTTCGTTCGCATCTTTTCTGTGAATTAAACTGGTGGTTTTCTTTGATGAATACACTAGTTAATATGTAGGGAAACAGAATCATTTGTACAGATTGGCATTGTCTTGTAGCATATTTCCTATGTCTGCCTTTTCTGACGTAGGTTTCGCATTTGATAGAGGTGCACTTCCAAACAACTATATATGGCAGACCTGGGCAAAGTGTGGCCCGAGGGCCACATACAGCCCGCGAGCCGCTGCTGTCCAGCTTGCTGGACATCAAAACCATTCATAGCTTTTTGTCTAAAGTTGACCAGTTGCTTATCTTTAACATACCACAAAAAAACTCTTTAGTATTTGTGAAGATTAACAATTTTAAAATAAAAACAATAATAACATCACTGTTTCATTTTATTTTAAAGTAAAGTTGGTTCGGCCCCCGAACACAGTTCCAAGTTTTCATATGGCCCCCTATAGAAATTAATTGCCCACCCCGATATATGGGACTGCACCCTTTGCTTGTTAAAAGCCTCTTGTCCATGAGGCACATGAACAGGTGGGCCATATGTGCTCCAAAGGACACTTCTCGGCCTTGGCTTTATCTCAGTTGTCCTTGGGCAAATTTTAAAAGGCTTTCAGAAGTGATCAGGTTTGGTTTCTGCAAGCATTCAAAGTAGGGATGGAAAGGGTGAGAGATGAAGATGGCAGACTTGCCATCAGGCTTCAGTCTCATCTACCACCACTGGCTTTACCCTCATCTACCATCAAAATGTGGTTGATTGCCTCTGCCAGATCATCCATGAAGGAAAATAACCTTGACTAGGGGAGGGAGGAGGAATCTGCTAATGAGCTATATGTATTCTATGCAAAAAAAATGTATCACATAAAATGTATTATTTATTTTTGTAGCAACGGGAAGTTTGAAGCAAGTCAACAAGGATTTGGCTCAGCTCTTCTGAAGGCTTTGCTGGGCAATATATCTTACCTACCTGCAGCTGCAACTGGAGGCAAGCTTCATTCTTTATTCTTGGCATACTTTAACATTCCTTTGGATCTAAATTCATCCTATGTGCTTAGCTCCTGGTGCTTGTCTTTTCCTGTTTAATCTGTGGTGCTCTGTTGTAGCACTGGTTCGTTTTGCAGTTTTATCTTAATATTATTGTAGGTGCCATGAGTAATTTAAATCAAATTGTTCACTTTATTGATTGTAAATAACTTGTAAGACTCTCTGAAGTCTCAGCAGACACAAATATATACATGTTAAACAGGCTATATTTACTGCTTATTATAACTTGTTTTCAGCATTTTATTTTTGTAAGATACCTTAGCAGCAGGTAGTCTAATGAAAACATATATTTGAAGTCTATTTTAATGATTACTTTTAAAAACCTTTTTCTCCTAGGGTCTGTGTATTGGTATTTTTATTTACTGCTTATTATAACTTGTTTTCAGCATTTTGTTTACGTACGATACCTTAGCAGCAGGTAGTCTAATGAAAACATATATTTGAAGTCTATTTTAATGATTACTTTTAAAAACCTTTTTCTCCTAGGGTCTGTGTATTGGTATTTTGTATTGCTGAATTATGTAAAGGATGAAGATTTGGCTGGCTGCAGTACAGCTTGTGCATCCTTGCTAACTGCAGTATCTAGACAGTTACAGGATCGGTTAACACCCATGGAAGCTTTACTTCAAACAAGGTAACAGAAGAAATATATATGGACATATTTCTATTCGGCATAATAATAACATTTTTAGTTTAGATTTTTATAGCAGCTTGCTCCATCAGACCAGATTGAACATTGCATCAAAGAGTTTTGTGACCCCCCCCCGAGGAAAAAAAAAATCAGAAATACAGGGATTGCAGCAGGGTGGGGACCCAGAAAATCAGTTCATATAATCATTTGGATCTTAATGTGTAGTGTGTACATAATCTCTGCTTTATGATATATTGTGTGATTTGGAACTTACTTTATTATCCTACCCACAGTGGTTTGTATATGCTTGTCTTCCCCATTTATATGTCCTTTGTGCCTTGAGACCAGCCAAGGGGAACTCACAGAATATCATGGCCAAATGAGATTTGAATTTGGATCTATCCACTCCTAGTCCAACATTCCAACTATTTGTGTCGGATGTTTGTCATAGCATAACTTCAAAAACATAGTTTGGGTACGAAGAGCTGCTTTGTACCATTCATTTAGGGAAAAGAAGGAAGAATGTTTGAACAGTGTGTTCTGATGACAAACTATTGGAAAAATCTCTTTTCCAGTACTTTTTCTGCCCTTTTCTTATTTCAAGCCCCTGTAAGAATGGAGCGTTTTCATTTCTGATCCATCTGTAATATAACCAGGTGATAAAAGGCACTTGCCTTCATTTGGTGAGACATGCTCCTTGGAGCTTTGGATTTGGAGTTTACTGTGTGTTCCTGTGCATGTATGCTATTCCTTTTGACAGCTCCCCCTACTGTATGGCTGATCAGTGGCTCACTACCCCTCCTTCATTTTGAAGTCAATGCAGTGACTCCGAATTGCTTGTTACTATTTGGGGCCAACCTGAGCCCCAAATGGAGAAGTTACATATAAGCATTCTGAGTGCCAGTAATTTTTTGTAGCTGGATTTAGTGAAGCTGAATCTTCACAGCTAGGTAGGAAAGGGCTGAAAAAGCAGAGAATTACAGATGAAACATCTATAAATGTAGATTCACAGAAATTTGGTTTTAATTGTCAGAAAGGACAGGACGGACTAATTAGGAGGCTCATGCTCTGTGACATAGACTGAAAAATAGGGCTTCTGTGTTTTCATGGCTCTTCTTTCAGATCCATGGCATGTCATTGCATTATGGAAACTCCCTCTAACAATTTCTTGTCTTTGTTCTGTTTGAAATAAAAATGAATTCATAATGTAGGTGTCCCACCACAAGCAGTTACCAAAGCAACTCTAGGAAATAACCTAATGTGATGGAAATAGCCTGCTTAATTTCTTCTTTCTTAACAGTATGAATTCTAAAGATTTAGTACCCACTCCTTAGTTGTAATGCTCTTTGGAAGCTCAACAAGATTTAGCTAACATTAAGTCCAAAAGAACATGACAATATGCAATGATTATCTTATGAATTAATTGCCATCAAAAGTTTCTGCCGTTAGCCCTGTTCAGGTCTTGCAAACTCAAGACTTCCTTTACTGAATCCTGAACTATACCATCAGTCGTTTTTGTCCACTTAAATTCTAAGTATATACTTTTTTGATATTAAGTTGTTTTTCTCTTTTAACAGGTATGGATTATATAGTTCACCTTTTGATCCAGTACTGTTTGATTTGGAAATGAGTGGCTCCTCTTGTAAAAATATATATAACAGCAGCATTGGTGTACAGTCAGATGAGATTGACTTATCTGATGTTCTCTCAGGTATGTCCCTATATCAGATGGCACCCCCTGATTTTTAATATATCTCTATAATATATTAAAATCATTATTGTACAATAGCTTTTTTGCAGTAATCTATTTACATAAACTTTCTTATGCAGTTCTGATGAATGTTGATAATTTGCTGTATTATTTATGAAGAATGTTCCATATGACTTAAGATTCAGATGTCTTTCCAATGATAGCCCATTTCTCTTGGCAGTTTCCCCCCCTCACAGTAGTGGATTGGTATCTAATGTTTACTGGGCAGAGTTCTATAAGTGGTGTGGTGATTTTCTAAGAAGTTCATTATGGCCCCCAGCGCTGTCTTGCATGTTCTGGAGGGTTGAAAGACCCAGCCTGATTTCTAATTATGATGAAGTAAAAATGACGGTGTTTTCCTCCTTCCTCCCATTTAGGGAATGGAAAGATCAGTAGCTGTGCTGCAGCTGAAGGTAGTTTTACTTCCCTCACTGGTCTCCTGGAAGTTGAACCCCTGCACTTTACCTGTGTTTCGACTAGTGATGGAACCAGAATAGAAAGGGACGATGCAAGTACGTTTACTGGTATATACATTTTATTACTTCTTTCTAAACCAACCAAACTAGAGTGTTAGTCTCATAAAAACTTCTTGTTCAATGAAGTTCTAGCATGTAGTGAATGTTCTGAGCCTTAATTTCAGATTGCACAGTATAAAGCACTGGTCTCAGACTACACATTTGAGGGGAAAAATTGTATTTGATATTAGTAATACAGCATGTAGTGAATGTTCTGAGCCTTAATTCAGTTTTCAGATTGCACAGTATAAAGCACTTGGTCTCAAACTACACATTTGAGGAAAAAAAATTGTATTTGATATTAGTAATAAGATTTTCTCTGCTTGCTTTGCAAAATGAATTTTGTTTAAAGTAACATAAGATGGTGACTTTAATGATAAAAGGAAAATATTAAAAATATCTGGCTTTTTTATTTTTGAGTTTGCTTTCATCTTCAGTGTTTATTGTATTAGAATGCAGTCATTAGGAAAATGCTTTGTGCGCTGCTTTTCTACATACACTTTTTTTGTTTCTTTGTTTCATGCCAGTGAGTACCTTTGGGGTTACCCCAGCAGTTGGTGGCCTCTCATCTGGGACAGTTGGGGAAGCCTCGACAGCACTGAGTTCAGCGGCCCAGGTAGCTTTGCAGTCTCTCTCTCATGCAATGGCCTCAGCAGAGCAACAGCTCCAGGTGCTTCAAGAGAAACAGCAGCAGCTTTTGAAGCTTCAGCAACAGGTTGGAGGCCATCTCTTTCATGATGTCTCTAAACTTCAAAAGCTGAAAGAGTCATTATCATAATTTAAACAACAACAACACCCTGTCCTTAATAAGCAAAAAAACAAATCATTATTAGTGAGAGCGCCGTTAAACAGGATGCTTAGAATACACCAGATATTAAAATTTGCTTACATCCATGATGCACACAATTTAACAACAAGGTTATACATCATCTTTAGGCAAAAAGATCTTTCTAAGATGTGGGAACTTTGTATTTAAAATGTTGGATTTTAAATTATCATTAACTTATACTTAAATCTTTATCTTTAGTTATCAGCAGAGTATAGAAGCAAAGCATATTTAAGTAAGACTTGTTCTTTTGTGTGGTCTCTGTGATTCACATATATGATTCTCCTCTGCACACGTGTACAGACGATTTGGGGAACATTCTAGAGCTTTAAGCCCCTCCTTTCAGTGAGTATACCAGCTCTACCCAATGGTCACTCCTCAGTTCTCTCTAACCACCATTCTCACAGCATTTTGCAGCTTTGTTTGCCACAGGCTTTTTCCTATTTTATTTACTTACCTGCTTATCTTCCCTTCGTTTGTTAAATCTGTTTTTCCTGTTCTTTGGGCCCTGAAAAAAAGGAAAAGAAAATTGATATTAATTGTCTTTTGTCATCATGTATGACTTCTAAGGCCCCATTTAAATACTGTGTATCTTATGGTGGCAAGATAGTGCTAACAGATAGACACAAGAACTGCCTTTACTATCTGGGTGAGGTTTGCCAGATCCAAAATTGTAAAATTTGTCAAAACTTTACAGAAGTTGCCCTTAAAAACAGTCAAGGCCGAAATTTCACCTCTGGATGCAGTCACTTCTGGCCATTGATAAAATATGCAAAGAACAGGACCTTGTTTGCAGATATTTATTTTCTACCAAAGATAGTTTCAAGTTTCTATATGAACCAACCGTATGTTCTTTCCAACTCCTGTGACTCTTTTGGAAAAGAGAATGGACAAGCGAGGCATTAAATGTGCCCTTGCGTTTTATGTTGGTAGAACATGTTGTCAGAAAGACTAATAAACATTTTGTTTGTATCAGTGAAACAAAATACGAACATGGGTTGTCACAGAGGCTGTCTAAAATGTGTGGTGAAAACAATTTCATTGTCATACAAACTAGCTAAATGCCCTTTACCTAATATTTTAAAGTGGCATTCAGATTGTGATATGACAACTTCTACAGTTTTTTAAAAAAGTGTCCAATAACAAGACATTTGCAAGGCTGCAACCTGATCCCAGCCTATAATTTTTGTGAACCGTTATAGGTTGAATGTGTGAGCCAAACTGGATGTGTCGTTCTAGACTCATGTAACATCCTACCAGCCATTTAGCTAGCTTGGGAGTCACCCATACGTGTGAATCACAAACAACATGAAGAAGGATAGGTTACTTACCTATAACTGTGGTTCTTTGAGTGGTCGTCTGAGAATTCACACAACCCACCCAAATTCCCCTCTGTCTGTTGCACTATTTTTGCTTAGTTTGTGGCATTGGATAGAGGACACTGAGGAGCATCCATTGGGTGGAGCCAGCATACTAACTGAAGGGAAGGGTTTTAAGCTTTAGAATGTTCCCAGGATCTTCTGCACAGGAACAGAGGAGATCCATATGTCAGAATTCATGAATGACCACTTGAAGAACCGTTACAGGTAAGTAACCTGTCCTTTCAGTACTAAATGAATAAACATATGCTGATCTGTAATATGCACTTAAAAGAAGACTCATTTGATTAAAAAATTTAAGAGATGCATTAGTTATTTGCTATTCCTTTTCAAGTTTGCTTTATCTACAGTCTAACTGAGGTAAACTACTTATGCTGATAGACCCATTAATCCTATGGATATGAGAATTTATTAATATGCACTTTTTGGATCTATTCAAAACACAAGTTTTTAAAATCTGAGAATATCATTATACCTTTGTGATAAATTTCTTAATTTCAAAATGATTTCCTTCTAGCGTGAGAAGAGTGAATATCACTGTGCTAAAACTGTTTTTCTCTTACACACAAGCATACATGTCTCAGAATCTCTTACATACAGTGGATTGTCAGCTGTATGTCTCCTTTCTGTGAGGTGCTTTGATATACAACATAACATATACTGAGTTAAGAAATACGTGTCGATTTCCTTGACACTTCTTGTCCTTTTTTATATATATAGAAGAATCATCCCAGAAGGAAAAAAAAATAGGTTGTGGACATGAAAAGATATGCACCTAATGCCCCACTGTGTGTACAAGATTCATATGAACGCTTACATGTGTTTCTGTGTGCGTGCATATTCATTCGCCTTGAGCAAATTCATTGGAATTTTATTTTTTGAAATAAAATTCCAATGAATGCAATTGGAAATCCTTTCCTCAGTCTAGTCCCTCTAGTAGTTTGGATTACAACTCCCTTAATCTTTGACTCTTTGCCATGGCAGTTGTGACTGAAGAGAATTCTAGTCTAAGCTATCCTGGAGAGTACCAGGTTAGGGAATGTCTAAATGTATTCAAACCAACTGGCCCATCAGTTCTAAGCTGAACTACATCAGGTTACATAGTTATTGTGCCAGGCTGTCTCTAACTGATCTGCTGAGTAGGATATAGGTGAGTTTTAAAAGGTTACTTCTTACCAATTCCACTTCTTCTCTTGTGTTATTTATCACCCTTTTGTGCTGTATTTTGCCTTTTTTAGTAGAAAACTTTTAGTGTGTTTAAAAGAAAGCTGAGGCTCTTTGCTTTTTTTAAAAAAAAATTGTTCTGTTCATGCTGCTTGTTGCTAATGCTTTTATTGCTAGTGCTTTTCTGGGCAGCACTGGCATACAGTACATACGCTGCTTTTATTTTCCCTGCAGAAAGCAAAGCTGGAAGCAAAACTACACCAGACAACAGCAGCAGCTGCTGCAGCAGCATCAGCAGTTGGCCCCGTTCACAACTCTGTGCCTTCCAACTCAGTAGCAGCCCCAGGGTTCTTCATTCATCCGTCGGATGTCATCCCACCCACTCCTAAAACCACCCCCTTGTTCATGACTCCGCCTCTCACGCCACCCAATGAGGCAGTTTCTGCTGTTATCAATGCAGAGCTTGCACAGCTTTTTCCGGGTTCAGTCATTGATCCTCCACCAGTTAACCTTTCTGCACACAACAAAAATGCAAACAAGTCCAGAACGGTAACTAAAATCAAAAGAGCTTTCATGAAAATCCAAGCTAGTGAATGTTAATGACAGGAACAGCTTTGTTTGCTACTTTGCCTTTCTTATCTAACTGTAGGCAAAGCATGTTGATAGGCAGTATTGTTGAAACATCTTGATCTCTTAATCTCCCCATGAGCGGGATATAAATCAAATAAATAAATAAATAAATTTTAAACCTAAATCCGTATAAGGGAAGTAGTGCAAACAGACAATTGGTTAATGCTGTGAAATGTTTCCATTTGTATGCTTATAGCTAATTAATGTACACTGTAAGGCAGTGGGCCCCCAACCGCAGACTGGTTGGGGGGATGTGGCACGCTTGTAGGGGTGTGGCACACTGCAGGGGAGTGGAGCACACTCATAGGGGGGGAGCAGGAGACCTGTGTCCGCGGCCCGGTCCTGCCTAGGCCACAGACCACTGGTATGTCGCAGACCAGGGGTTAGGGACCCCTGCTGTAGGGGATGAATTTTTCAACCCTAAGTTTACAAAGTGTCCCTCTCTTTACATTTGCATGTGCAAAAACTAGTGACCGTAATGATAGACATTAAGTATTATATATTGGTTCATTTTCCTTTCTTTCAGAATCCGCTTGGGACTGGTCTTGCTCTTGCAATTTCTCATGCTTCTCATTTTCTTCAGCCTCCCCCTCATCAGTCCATCATTATAGAACGAATGCATTCAGGTAAAATTCAGTTATTTAATATGATGCCGTGCTTCTCTCAAGGGCACTGATAGGATTTAAGAGAATGATGCGGACACTTTCTAAGTATTGCCAACAAAACCGATTGGAGATAAATTATGATAAAAACAAATGTTACATCCTTTGCTAATAGACCAAAGAGGCATACCTGGTATTTAAATCAAGTCCGCATTGAATAGGTACAACAATACAAATATTTGGGTGTTATTGTTCAGGCAAATGGGAAGAAAAACTTGCATATAAAGTAGCACAAAAAGTGCTAGTGCAATGCAAAAACATATAAAGTATGTTGTATCTAATGCACAAAAAAGTGCTAGTGCAATACAAGAATTCTTTTGAACCAAAGTGGAGGGGGGGGCAAAATGTGACAGCAGCCATCAAAATATTTATGGCAAAATTCTTGGCACAATAGACCTACAGTGCTCCTTTTAGTATTGTAGCAAACAGATCCATGATGGAAAAACTTCAAACTAAATTTTTAAAAGCCATACTATTACTGCCAACCAGTGCATCAAATGCAGTGGTTCGTCTGGAAACAGGACTAATAACTATAGAGGCTAGACTCTGGATAATTGTCCTGTCATATTGGTTAAAATTGAACCACACTAACTCTGGGCTCACCCATTTGATATTAAAAGACAACTCTGTCTCCCCGTGGATAGAACTGTTGGAGAACAAATTGGGGTACTATGGATTTTCACATCAGTATCTAATGTCTATGAGCTCCCACCAAGCCAAAAGTCTGATCAAACAAAGGATCTTAGACATAGAAAGGCAGCATGATCTGAATAGAGTTAAAGCACATACAGTGGTGCCTCGCATAACGAGTGCACCGTTTAACGATGAATCCGCATAGCAATGCAGATTTTGCGGTCGCTAATGCGATCGCCTACCGATGTTTGAATAAACGAGTGCACCGTTTAACGAGATCAGTAAGTGTTTCACTTACCGATCTTCGCATTGCGATGTCGGGGGAACAGCTGATCGGCGGTTCCAAAATGGCCGCCGGAACACCCAAAATGGCCGTGCGCAGCATTTTCGCGCCCTGCCCTCGCTTACCAAGGGCGCGAAAATGGCGGCTGGATGGGGAAACTTCGCTCAACGGTGAGTTTGGGCCCCGTTGGAACGCATTAAACAAAGTTTAATGCGTTCCAATGGGCTTTTCCGTTCCATTTATGCAGGGAGTGTTCCAATGGGCTTTTCCGTTCCGTTTATGCGGGGCACCACTGTATAAGGGATATCATTGGTATCAATAGAAACACATCAATGCCTTACGTAAGTGAATTTGAAAATTCTGAAAGTAGAAGGGTGTTTATGCTAATCCGTATGGATATGTTGCCTTCTGCTGTCTTGGAGGGCAGATATAAGAAAATTCCAGATTTGAATTGGCTATGTGTATGCGGTAAAGGAAGTATAGAGACCTTGGAGCATGTACTCTTGGATTGCAAAATTTACAAACAGATCTGGGAAAGCTACATCAATCCAATTATTTTGGACAGGGATGGAGGTGACAGGAGGGGCTGTCTCCAGACCTTGCTAGAAGATAGAAATAAGGCTACAACTTACAATGTGGTCAAATTTGGCTGGCTAGCCATCAAGCTAGGGCAAATTTGGATTAATCAAATGGATAAAGACCCCATTGAGTAGCGTATGGTGACTAAGACCATTTAGGCTAGCAAAGGCCCCTCAGGTCACTAAAGGATGACAGTATAAAAATAGAGTTCTTCTCTATTTTATAAGAGTCTTTTATATATATACTGTATATTTTAAATTCTAGCCATTTTGGAACTTGTTATATATAGTTATGAAGATGCTGTTTTGTTGACTTGTCATTGGCTTTGTGTATTGATTTGATGTTTCAATGGCCTTTGGCTAAAATTTGAATAAAAATTCACAAGTTTTCTATGTCAGCTGGACTTCACACCCTGTTTAGTAAGCAGTTTTCAGCACTGCTTTAGGCATGGTCATGAGCTTAGGCCTTTCCAAAAGAATTTTGGAATTCCTTGTTTAAAAGCCGGTTGCAATGCCATCTGGATTGTTTCACAATTCTCCTGAGTTGCTAAACCAGCCTGGAAATCTGCTGTCCCAAGGAACAGGAGCACAAGACCACTTAAAGAAACTAGTTGTGCTAGATACCAACAGGTGTTCTTGGTTTTTGCTGATTTTAATGGACTGTCATCTCATACTGTAGTCAGAGCTAAAGGTGCAGTAAAAAAGCATACAGTATGTAATTCTGAAGCTTGTTCACAGTTGTAGAGAGTTGTCTAATTCTGCCAGTGTTAAATGCATTGTCAGATGGAACTGTGCAGTCATCCTGCTTTGAGAAAATGAATGTACAGTATAATTTGGCCTTTGTATATAAAGATGACATGAAATCAGTGGATGTGGGTCCTAAATAGAACACTTCAAAAATCTTGGCGGTGGCAGGGGAAATTAAGGTAGACAAATCTTGTCAGTGTATTATTTATTGTATAGTACCCCGTCTGGAGAAGTCAGTGTTGGAACATTTTTGTTTTCAGTTGAGAAGTCAGTGTTGGAACATTTTTGTTTCCAGTTTTTTGTGTATCAGAATAAGGACTTAGCCTTCACCAATTCAAAATCTTAGCGAATTTTGCCCTATTAGAAAAACGTTAAGCGATCGCATTAGCGATCCGAAAAAACGGATCGCTATGCGATTTCGTCGTTATACGGTGCGCTCGTTAAGCGAGGCACCACTGTATATCAGAATAAGGACTTAGCCTTCACCAAATCAAAATCCTGGTAGACTGAATATGCTGTTTGACTTTAATCTGTGGTGTAACATAAGAAGACATGGAACTAAAGGAGCATTTTTTCCTCTCTTCAGAGGCTTGTGATTGATATAAGTGAGTTAATTAAGTACAAACCTAAATTTCTATTTCTCTATCATAATCTTTTAAGATATCTAGATTATATGAGTAAAGGATCAATTTGTACCAACAAATCAAAAAAGAAAAAAGAAAACCAACATTTTATTCCAAATCTCCGTACATGTGTTGTCATATTTAAATATTGCCTTTCATTCCATGTCAAAAGCAAATATTAAGATGCTTACTATTTTTCCAGTTTAGGAAATTCATTTTAGTTTGTGCAATAGGGATTATGCAGAGAGCTATGTTGTAAAGAAGTTAGACATTGCCTGAGAGTTTTGCATTTATGTAACTGATTTTGGGCTCTGTGTTAAAGATTTCACTCTTATCTATTGCGTTGCTTTTTGAAGGTGCAAGGAGATTTGTGACCTTGGACTTTGGTAGACCCATATTATTGACAGATGTGCTGATACCAACTTGTGGTGATCTAGCTTCTTTGTCAATTGATATTTGGACACTTGGTGAAGAAGTCGATGGAAGAAGATTAGTAGTCGCAACAGATATTAGCACCCATTCTCTCATTCTACATGATTTAATACCACCACCTGTTTGCAGGTTTATGAAGGTAAAATCCTTTGAAAAAAAATCTGAATTGACAAACATTCTTAATGTTTAACAGTTCCTATTCCAAAGTAAAAAGGCAATGGCATTGAAGACTATGGTATTTTCATTTCAGATTACAGTCATTGGTCGTTATGGAAGTACCAATGCGAGAGCCAAAATTCCTTTAGGATTTTATTATGGGCATACATACATCTTGCCACTGGAAAGTGAGCTGAAGATTATGCATGATCCTCTAAGAGGAGAAGTTGAATCTGCAAACCAGCCAGAAATTGATCAACACTTGGCCATGATGATTGCGTTGCAGGAAGACATACAATGCAGGTAGAGTGCTGACAATAGCCCTATATTGATTTTAAAGCGATACTGAAGATCAAGTTCTCAAATACCGTGTTTCCCCGAAAATAAGACAAGGTCTTATATTATTTTTCCAAAAATGCATTGAGGCTTATTTTCAGGGGATGTTTTACTTTTTAATGTACAATAATCTACATTTATTCAGTTACAGTCATGCCATCTTCTTTTGGTTGCTGCACAATGGTAGAGGGCAGGGGTTCATTTAACTGGGGCTTATTTTGGGGGTAGGGCTTATATTATGAGCATCCTGAAAAATCATACTAGGGCTTATTTTCAGGTTAGATCTTACTTTGCTTGTTTTGATTAATAAAGCCCTAAACGGCTTGGGCCTTGGATATCTGAAGGACTGCCTCCTTCCATATGAACCTACCTGGCAATTAAGATCTAGCCAGGCAGCCCTCTTGAAAGATCAATTCCTCATGGAGGTAAGAGGGAGGGCTTGTAGACAAAGGGCCTTTTTGGTAGCTGCCCCAGACTATGGAACGCCATCCCAAGTGAGATTCGTCTGGTGCCGACGTTGATGAAGTTTCAGCACCAGGTCAAAACCTTCCTGTTCCAGAAGATTTTTTATTAAAATAATATCAACTGTGGGTCCTGATGGCAATTTTTAGAGTAGTATTTGTAATTGTATTTTAATTGTTTTATCTTTATATCTTTTATTATATTTAAATTGTTGTAAGTCGCCCAGAGACCTTTAGGTAGTGTGGGTGGCATATAAGTTAGATTGATTGATTGAATAAATAAATAAATAAATTTTGGGGGGAACAAGGTATTGCCAAACCCAACTCATTTAAACTGCATAAAGCATTAATATCTACATATGAAGTTGGGATTTCATTTCTGTTAGGCACTTAAGTGGATTTTGTTTCTTAATAATTGAAATATATTGATTTCCTTCTCCCCATTCCTCCAGGTATAATTTGGCGTGCCATAGACTTGAGACACTTCTGCAAAGCATTGACCTCCCTCCACTAAACAGTGCTAACAATGCTCAGTATTTTTTACGAAAACCAGACAAGGCAGTAGAGGAAGACAGTCGAGTATTTTCTGCCTATCAAGATTGTATTCAGCTACAGCTACAGCTTAATTTGGCTCATCATGCTGTGCAGAGGCTCAAAGTAGCTCTAGGTGCAAGCAGGAAGATTCTCAAAGAACAAAGAGATCCCAAAGAGCTGATTCAGATGTCCTCCACAGAGCAGTTGCGCACAATTATCAGATACCTGTTGGATACTTTACTTAGTTTGCTTCATTCTTCCAATGGTTGGTAGCTTGCTTATCTTCATTGATAGACTGAATTTAAATGTTTGGTAGCTGTTTCAGTGCTAGTGCTGGAAATGTAGACATACAGTGGTGCCTCGCACAACGATTGCTTCATACAACGATGAATTCACACAGCGATGGGTTTTTTTGAGGAATTTCCCCCATCGTTTAACGATGTTCTCTATGGGGGAATTTCACTTAATGATGTCCCTTTTTGCTCATTTTAAAGTGTCTTAAAATATTTGAAACCTGTTTTAAATGCTTGGATTCCATATTGCACCTTGTGAAACATGTGCAAACTTAATTTGGGGGTGGGCTAACGATTGCAAGCATTTAAAACCTGTTCCAAACATTGTAAGGCACTTTTAAATGAGCGAAAACTGACATCAGAAAGGGCTCTTTGATCTCCGTTTTCCTGCCAACCTAGCGGTTCGAAAGCATGCAAAATGCGAGTAGATAAATAGGTACCACCTTGGTGGGAAGGTAAACAGCGTTCCGAATCTAAGTCGCGCTGGCCACGTGACTTTGGAAACTGTCTACAGACAAACACTGGCTCTACAGCTTGGAAACGGGGATGAGCACCGTGTTCTAGAGTCGGACACAACTGGACAATTGTCAAGGGGAAACTTTGCCTTTACCTTATTTCCTATTTGCTGATCATCCATCTGCATACTTTTTGTAAGCTCTTGTAATGGTTTTTAGTATACTAGTTGTATTTTTGTGCACTTGTTATTCCTTTACATCTTTGGTCCCCTTGTCCATCATTTTTTGTTTCGTTTTAATTATTGGAACGGTTCAGTTTATTCCCTCATGTTATGCAATTTTCAGTTATTAATTAAATTAATATTTTTATCATTTATTTCCAGCAATGCTGCTGCATTTCTTAAAATTCTATTATGATATAAATTATAGATATAATTATGAGAAGCTGACTGGGTAGCTCAGTATCTGACTGAAGACCCAGAGGTTGGGGGATCGATTCCAATGCTGTGTCTCCTTTGAATAGCATCAGCCTGTGTGGCCTTGGGCAAGCTACACAATCCCATGGTACCAGAAAAAGGGAATAATAAACCACTTCTGAATATATCTCACTTACCTTGAAAACACTATCGAGGTTGCTGGGATGGTGGGATCCTGGTTCTTTGATCCAGTGATATGTGGGATGTCAGAGATGGAAGCTTGGCAATCACTGCTTTTGCTGAAGAAGCAACCTTCGTGATGTTTTACTTGTACAGAAAATTTGAGTGAGACTTAAGTCTCTGGATTGTTAGGAGAGCAACAACCCTGTGGTCTTGTTCTATTTCACATTAAGCTAACCATGGGCAGAGAGTCACTGGTTTATCTAACTGCTTCTGCTGGCAGGAGGAAACAAGCAGAAGCAGTTGAACACCATGTAGTAGCACATTTGCTTATTCGTACTCAACTCAAAAAATCTGGATTACTGTAATGTCCAAATGTTATGCTGAAAATCAAGGACAATGCATAGCTGAGCTGCAGACATATCATACCTCTGTAATATAAGCCTTTGCCAGATATTTATCCTGAAATTGTATAGAGTTCAGAAGATGCTGTGAAGATGGCAGGTAAGTAAGCCCTTCCCTCCGGATACCCACCTTACTAAGAAGTCCTTCTAACTTTCTTATGTTCTGCACAGAAGACTTCATAGGCAAATTGTAAGCACATTCAGTATTTCCATGATTGGTATTTCCAAGCCCTTCCTTGTCAGGTTTGCTAATTTGGAAATGCTGCAAGGAGACATGAACATCTATAAGACTTTGAAGTACGGTGGGGATTTGGGACTGGATGTATCTGCATCCCCATGCCACCAATATCCTTTGGAACTGACACATATTCAGGCTGAGCTTCTGAATTAGTTTTAATTACTTAAATAATTAGTTGCCACAGAGAATCTTTCTTGTGCAAGTATTTGAGTGTGTCTTTACATAACAAATGCAGAAGATAGATGAAATGTTACTGCCTTTTGATAAAAACCATGTAGTTTGCAATCAGTGTTAGAAACAACCTTCATCTAAGCTGTATTGTGCAGAGGATAGCTGTTTTGACTGAATTTATTTTTCTTTCTTTTAAGGGCACTCTGTTCCTGTGGTTCTACAGAGTACATTTCATGCTCAAGCTTGTGAAGAATTATTCAAGCACTTGTGTATCAGTGGGACTCCTAAGATACGTTTACATACAGGCCTTCTACTTGTTCAGTTGTGTGGAGGTGAAAGATGGTGGGGCCAGTTTCTTTCAAACGTTCTGCAAGAGTTATATAATTCAGAACAACTTCTTATTTTTCCACAGGACAGGTACTGTTAAGGTGCATCTTTTCTCTTTTGTTTAAGGGATTTGGAATGTTGTTGAGTCACTGGAACTGACAAGTAATAGGCAAGAAGCCTATAGGACAGTTATGGCAAACCTATGGCATGCGTGCCACAGCTGGCACGCAAGCCATAAGTTGTTGGATTGCTGCAGGTGCAAAAGGTGCACAGGGCCTGAAGGGCAGGTCTCAAGGCAGTCCTGAGCCTCTGTCAGGCTTCCTGCATCTCTTGCCCCAGGCCCAGCCAGGACGGCCTCTCTGCCAGCCCCAGCTTCCCTCTGGTGGTGGTGGGGGCACTCTTTGAGACCAGGAGGCGTTTCATCCCCGTGCTGGGCAGGTTTTGGGCCTGATGTCACAGGAAGCGAGGAGGGCTCCACTTCGGAGCTGTTGGGTGCTGCCAAGCGGACGCGACTGTCAAAGCTTCTGTGCAGCGAAGTGGAGTTGAGTGAGGCCTTGCCTTGCCTCGGGCCAATATGTTCTTCTTACACCTGCCACCAGGATCAGGCCTCTCTCCCAGGATCCTTGGGCAGAGTCTAAATGTTGCCCTTGCTTGCCCCCCTCCCGCCGCCACCCGCCTTTTCCCCTGGGACAGCTGGATAACTCCGTCCCAACCAAAGAAGCACCCGCACAATTGACTGGGGTGCGAGAAAGCCGATCCAGAGTTGCCTCCAGGATGTGATCCCTTTCGACATATACCTTGCATGCTGGTGGCAAAGTCCTTCCCAAGCATACCCAGAGTTTCATGCCAGGCATCTGGACACCTTCTGGCTTGTTCTAAGCATGAGAAAAATAATCTTGTAATGAAAAAAGAACATAAACACTAAAAATAGGATCAAATGATTCTTTAGCCCATGAATGCAGTACATTTTTCCAGCCAACAGTGAGCCTAATAAATGCAAGTTTGGAAATAACCTCTTACTAGTTAAACCCCTCGCTCCATATAAGTTACATAATAGTATAAAAAAACATAAAACCTTAGTACAGTGGTGCCTCGCACAACGAGTGCCTCACACAACGATAAATTCACACAATGATGGCTTTTTCTGAAAAATTTGCCGCCTCACACAACGATGTTTCCTATGGGGAATTTTCGCACAACGATGTCTCTTTTCACTCATTTAAAAGTGCCTTAAACTGTTTGAAACCTTTTTTAAATGCTTGGCATCGATAGTCCAGCTTGTGAAACGTAAGCAAAGTTAATTTGGTGTTGTTCTGAGGCGTCGTTAATTTTTGGTCAATTTTTTTATTCTCCATTGAAACACATTGAACTTTCCGTCCAATGCATTCCAATGAGAGAAAATTCAAAAAATCACCAAAAATTAAGGACGACTCAGAACAACACCAAATTAAGTTTGCATAGGTTTCAGGAGGTGGGCTAATGATTGCAAACATTTAAAACACGTTTCAAACAGTTTAAGACACTTTTACAGGAGCGAAAAAGGACTTCGCAAACCCATTCAAATGCATTGAGTCGGCTTCAATACATTCCAATGGAGGAAACATTGTTTCACTCAACGATGTTTCCTATGGGTTTTTTCACTTAAAGACGGCAATCCGTTCCAATTGGAACGGATTAACCAGTTTTCAATGCATTACTATGGGAAATGGTGTTTCACAGAACGATGTTTTCACAGAACAGGGTTTTTTTGGAACCAATTAACATCGTTGTGCGAGGCACCACTGTATTCAGGGTGAATTGCACTGTTGGCACTTTGAATGGTTTTGTGTTGCAGTTTGGTCACCTGGGCTCAAAAAGGTTCGTCATCACTACTTTAGGACATAGAATGTTTTTCAAATCTAATTGTTAGCATGATGAGGCTTAAAATTCAAAATTTGTCAATATTGATTAATTTATAGTAGTTAATCAACAGCTCCAAGCTGTTGTAAGCAAGTTCATTTTGCAACATGAATCTGTATGTTAATCTGTTATTCAGCAAAGGATGTTCCCTCTTGTCAGTGGCTCTAAACTCTTGGCACTGTGCTATACCAATATAGTGATGTTTAGTTTTTTACTTCTGAGGAACCAGAATAAGCATAAGCAGTTGTGATTGAATTATTTGGGTCTCTTGTTTCTTTCTTTCTGATTGAACTACTGTATATAAATTACTCATCTGAGATGTTGATGTATGTTTTATGAAGCTAAGACTCACAGTTAATGGTCTTTTTTATGTCTTTTTATTCAGAGTCTTCATGTTGCTTTCTTGCATTGGTCAAAGATCACTCAGCAACACTGGTGTCTTAGAAAGTTTGTTGAACCTCTTGGATAATCTGCTATCCCCACTTCAGCCCCAGCTACCTGCCCATAGATGTACAGAAGGTAATGTGGATTTCCTTTTAATTTATTTTTATAAATGCATTCAAAAGTTAAATAAATAAATAAATAAAATAGCATAGCAGAACAATACCTATTATCTTACAATAATAACTTTCTTGTTCACAAACTCCTTTGTCTTCATATATACACATACTCACATATACACACACACTGTTTACATTATCTCTTTATTTCTCTTTATCTTTTCACATAGTCTCTTCCTTGGCTCGTTATTGCATTTTTATGTCTAGCTAATGCTTAGAATAACTGGCAGTCCAACCCATTATCCACTTGATTTTTTTTACTTCAAATCGGATTCCAGCAGGGTTGCCATATCTCAATAAAGCTATCTTTTTCAATCTCCCCTCTGTATAAACTGATTCGATTAGATAGTTTCTCCATCATCAGCACCACTGCCTATATTTTATTCTTATATATTTGCAAAGTAAGGTCCTGAGCATCTTTCCAGCATCAGACAATTTCGTTCCGTGCTGCCCCATAAGAGTTTCCAAATTCTCTTTATTTGAGAAAAATTCTCTTTATTTGAGAATTTTTTGTTTCCTCTGGTAAATAGAGAGAATAAGGTTTCATTTGGAATTATTTTTTTATTTGTTGTATTTTTCTAGCCAGTTAATTACCTCATACCAGAATACTTCTCCTTTTGGGCAATCTAACCACATGTGTTCTAACGTTTCTTTATGGCCACACTTTCTCCAACACAATTCTAATATCTCTCTATTAGTTTTATGTAGTGCCACCTATGAACTGCTTTTAACATCATTTCTTTAGATTTTGCTGATACTGATTTCTATGGTTGAGTATTCCATATTTTTCCCCAAACATTTTCTGTTATGTTGATGTTTAAGTTTGTTTCCCAAGCTAACCTTGATCCTGCGCTGCTACCATATTCTTTGTCCAGTATGCTTTTACAAATTAATGAAATTAGACCTTTTTTCTTTTATTAGTCATATCTATATAGTGATTTTCTAGCTCTGTTTATGGTCTTATAGGTCCTGACTTCTTAGAGTTGATTTGCAACATTACTTTGGGTAGAGTGGGCGGCATATAAATTAAATAAATAAATAAATTAAATAAATAAATAAACTAATTGAAACCAATTAGTTGCTATTTCTGTAGTTTTTTCTTGTTACTGCCTAATTGTAATTGGCTTTCCTTGTGTAAATAGATCTTTTATTCTATAATTTCCTATTTCCTCCCAAAGTTTAGAATGAAGATTTTTAGTCCTAGATTTAAAATATGGGTGTTCCAAACAAGGGCATAAGGGGAATATTGGAGGGGCAAAATTTATCATATTTCTTCTTCATATTCTCATTGTTTTTGTAGTAAAAGGGTTTTGTAATTGAGTCCTAGTTTTCGGCAACGTAGGTGTATATAAATGTAGCTTAATTAGCTTTGCTTTCCATTCCACTTCCATTTGAGTCCATTCTTTTTCCTTTATAAAGTTAATAGCTTGAGCTATTTGAAAAGCTTCATAATATTCTACTAAATGCTGTATTGCTAATCCTCTCTTTAAATTTGGTTAATATTTTACAGAATTTATGAATCTTACTGTTCCTCCTTTTCTTGCAGTAAATTTTTCCAAGTTTTTTTGCCATAATTTAATCTTTTTCATTTCTGGTTGTAGAGGTATATTTTGAAACAAAAATAAAACTTTTGGTAAAATGTAGGCTTTTAACTGTTACTATTCTCCCTATGAATGATAATTTTAGTTTTCCCTACTTCTTTATTTTTTCCTTCATAATTACCCATGTAGCCTTATAATCAGGGGACGTGGTGGCACTGCGGGTTAAACTGCAGAAGCCTCCATGCTGCAAGGTCAGAAGACCTGCAGATCGAATCCACGTGACAGGGTGAGCCCCCGTCACTTGTCCCAGCTTCTGCCAACCTAGCAGTTCGACAGCATGCAAAATGCGAGTAAATAGGTACCACCACGGTGGGAAGGTAGCAGCGTTCCGTGTCTAGCCGCGCTGGCCACGTGACCACGGAAGATTGTCTTCGGACAAATGCTGGCTCTATGGGTTGGAAATGGAGATGAGCATCGTCCCTTAGAGTCAGACACGACTGGACAAAATTGTCAAGGGGAACCTTTACCTTTACCTAGCCTTATAATACCTACCGTATACACTAGTTGGTATGCTTTTCTGTTAACCAGATCTCTAAATATCTAAAACTAGAATAACGCAAATCTAAATTTAACATTACCTTAATTTTCTTTTGTTCTGCTATAGCAGTGTTTTTACATAACAAAGGTAATGTGGATTTCTGTAGTAGTTACAGAACATGGCACTGAAAGGTCAGATGGTTTGGGCGACAGACTTGGTGAAAATGTTTTCTGTACAGAGAGCAGCACCATGTCAGGATGGTTGCTTGTTGGTGTTTCAATGCATGAGAATAACAGAGGAGAGAGCATTCACTACAAGATGAATTCACTTGTATTTTGAGCATTTATTTTATTTAGATATTGCTGCCCGCTCAAGGTGGCTGACTATTAAAAGCGTAAGAGCTATGTAAAAGATGTAATGGCAGCCATTACTTTTATACATAAAATTACAATATAATCAACAATCGTAATTGACTAAAGGCCAGGCTAGAAGACGTAGATATTTCATCTAACAACAGCAAGGGTATAAAACATGTTGTAATACTGGTATATGATAAAGGTCTGTGCACATATACAGAGCTGTTCAACACACATGCTTAGGGAGGTGAGCTGGTGTGTTTTTCCTCCTCACCAAGAGCCTCATTGAATGCACTTATGTGAAGATTTTTTAAAATTTTATTTTTATTTTTTGTGGTGGAGTTAGCCTTTAAGAGGAAATAGTACAAGAAACTGAAAAGCTCCTGTGTATCTTGTTCCTAATGTATTTCAGTTTTTTTATTTTTAATGTTAAAATTACTTCCCAGGAACATGAGCATTTCCACATTCTCGAGATTTACAATTGGTTTTGAATAATTAATTAAACCAGTTTTGTGACTCTTGTACATTTATTCTGTTTTTGTCCATTACTAGCTGTTTTATTGAGGAAATGTAATCTTCAAAGATCATTATTTTACTCTGCAAAGATTTATATGTGCATATAACTGCAAGCCATTTTTTACTTCCATCTAAAACTGAACACTTAAAATTGCCTTATTTTTAAGGTGTTTTGGACATTCCTATGATTAGCTGGGTTGTGATGCTGGTGTCCAGGCTCTTAGACTATGTAGCTACTGTGGAAGATGAAGCAGCTACATCTAAAAAACCTTTGAATGGAAAAGAAAGAGAGAGATTTTTGACAGGTAAAGTATATAACATTAATAGTGGCAAAGCATGTTCATTAATCACTTGTGTTTAGAAACTTTAAATATGTAACGTGTAAGATACCTTAAACACAGAACATGTAATTTGTAATGGTTACATTAGCATGTAAAGCAGTAGTTGGGAGTATCCTGGTTTATTGTGAACAGGCTGCATGCTGATGCATGTAGCACATTCATCCTACGTTGCTCTTCCCATTGGTATGCCCGCTAAATTAACCAGAAGCAAGAAGCTGAGCATGCCGTACAAACTAGAGACTTTATAAGTAAAAAACAAACCCTGTTCTGCGGTTAAGGGTTATAGTGAAAATGACAGCCCAGTGTTCTCAGTTTAGATGACACACTAAGCTTCCACTGTTGGACAGTTTAGCTGAGAGGAGTTACATAAGAACAAATAGTCTGTGTTGTATCTGGATGTAATTTGGTTATGTCCCATGTTATCATTAAGTGCAAGTGTAGTCAACTTGTAAAATATCTGAAAATAGAACTATAGATTGCTCAATAGGAAATTCCCATAGTGATACATAGCAGACTTACCACCTCCTTTCTGCTCAGCCTTTCACTAGTAGTTTAGATAGTAGCACTCCTTATACTCTGATAAATCCATCAGTTTTTCCCAATACAAGTGCCATCTTCCATACCTGGATCCTTGGATTACAGTCTTTCCTATGACTGTGCTCAAAGCTTTCCTTTCCCAGTGGAAGTAATGTTTGTATAGTGGTGAGAATCAGCCCATGAATTGAGAAAGGTTCCATTATGCATTATGGAAATCCCCCTTGTGGGCATTCACAATACATTTAGGGGTTCTAATAAGGTATTGTTTATATGGACCAGTTTTACTGCTTTCTTTCAGTTTTTATCCAAATACATAATAGGCTTCATACTCTTTCTGTACAAGATTTGTAATGGATATTAAATTTCTGTGTATAAATTGTTTGTTTTCTATCAGATGTTAAATTCCAATGTCTTTTCTCTTAGGCAATCAGTGGAGTTTCATTAATAATAACCTACATACACAGAGCCTCAGTAGATCTTCAAAAAGCAACAGTAGCTTAGATAGATTGTATTCCAGAAAGATCAGAAAGCAGCTTGTTCATCACAAACAGGTAATTTCTAGTGTTGGTGTTAATTTTCTAAATTTCATAATGTCTAATGCCTGTTACTAATTTGGTTCCTGATTTAGGATAGGATGTTGCAAGTGAGGGAACAAGAATGTATTGAAATAGAGGAACAAGTTGGAGGAAATTCCAGGTGCCTGGCTTTCCTGAAGCAACCATGAACCTAACTGAAAGTTATACAAGTGTGGCAGATACTGACAATACAATAATTGCAGACAAGGGACCTGAGGAGATCCTATATGTGCCATACAGGGTGGAGTAGCAGGTTTTCCACCACCTGGAAGAAGAGCTCCCATGAGTCTGAAACGGGTGGGAGGAGCACAGCAGAAGGTGCTGAGAAGCCACTGATCTCCACATTAATTTTTCTTTTGCCTGATCCAGTCACCTAGATGACGTGGCATTGAGGGCAAACACGTCAACTATCCACTGCTACTTCACACTACTTGAAAACTCACCAGTTTTTGCAACTTTAAAGCTGCTCTGTAAACTGGCTTTATATCTCAGTTCTGTTGGCAGCCTGTTAAAGTTTTATCATATAAAAACTAAATTTTGGAAACTTTAACTTGACCATGATATGAAAGTGCATCTCTCTTTTGCATCTAATTGCTTACATTTTCATATACTTCTGTTAACATTTTCTTTTAGCAACTTAACATATTAAAAGCAAAACAGAAGGCTTTGGTGGAACAGATGGAAAAAGAGAAAATACAAAGCAACAAAGGATCATCCTATAAACTTTTAGTAGAACAGGCAAAACTAAAACAGGCCACGTCAAAGGTATGATGTTCTGCAATTATACTTATTGTCTTTGGCAGAAAGACCTGTTTCTGCAAATTAAAATATGTTTTGGGTTCATTTTTTTAAACAAAAAATATTTTATCATGCCTTTAAGGCTAAATCTGCTAATTCAGTCACCTGATGTATATCTGATTTTGGAAGTGCTCCTGCATTCTGTCTAAATATAGGCACCTGTTAGTTCCTCATAGTAAAAATGCCCTTAGGCACTTATCTAATGTGGCATTACATTACGATAAATAACACACAGGACTGTTAATGAATTTAGTATGGAATATTGAAAAGAAATGGTAATATATCAAATGGGCATTCAAAAGATGTTGGCATTTCTAGTCCACCCTACAAACGTTTTTGAGCCACAAGAAATTAATTCATTCTGAAGATCTAGACGAGTGCACTATTGGTACCATGGGTGCAGAGGGTTTTCGACCTCTGTTTCTCAAAGTCTCCCCTCTTCACAGTCTGCAAAGTATGTTGCTTTTGAAACTAAGAATGACTTTCAAAAGCAGTTTATGATAAAACATGAAATCATGCTGTTGGATGAAAAAGGTTTGCCAGCTCACTAAGGTACTCTTCAACCCCTTGGATTCCTACAGTAGCTTTTGTATTCCAGCTTAACTATCAAATAATTCACTTAGGAAACATGCTGTGTATTTCAGAATTCTGTAATTTTAACAATTACACTCTTCCTTCTCATATAGACTTAAGAATTAAGAATCACCATTTAATGAGAAGTGATGTATCATTTAGAATAAGAGCATTTGCCCCGATGACGCCTTCCTATAAAATTTCATGTAGAATATGTGAAATGTTTGATATCACTTTATTGGCTTCTGTCAGATAAACTGAATAGTTAATGTACATCTTTGTCACCTTAAGTAGAGACCTTACATTAGAGACAAGTTAGAGACCTTAATGATGTTGACTCCCACATGCATTAGGAATTCCTCTGATATAGGGTGCACTTTGATCCTCACGATAAGTGGAACATAAACCAAAGGGTCCCCTCCCCTCTTCTGCTAATTACTAACATGCTTGGGGTTGGAAAGTTGATTCTGAGCAATCTGTGCACATTTTGAAGACTATTTATGTTGAAGGGAAAGTTTCCCCAGAATTGGTGTTGCATTATTAGGGGGTAGCTGGAAGAGCTGTATTTTAAACAAAATTGTGGAACCTGTTCAGGCATTTCAATGAACCTATGGAGAACTGAATGGGTGATAGGATGTGGGTTTATACGTTAACCCTGTCCCCAGCCAGCTCCAAACAGCATCAGACATCTGCACAGTAAGTGACTTGTACAAAACTCCCTAATGGAGTTCAGTGGAATGTTCTTTCTAAGTTCCTACAATTGGGAAGCTGGCCTTTTTCAGGTTCCAGACAATACTTATATTAAAAAAATACATTTATCTGAATGCCAAGAAGTCTTCTGCAGCTCAACATGTGAACATATGATGCTAGTAGACGTTGTCTAGGGGGGCAGGGTATAAATCGAATGAATAAATAAATAAATATTGGCAGGAGACATTTAGAATGGCTGACATGTAAGCCCATGTCGCCGCCATCCGTTTCACTCTCTACACATTCAGGGAAAAGCATAAATAGGCTTATGTTGGCACCTGTCAGAGAGTATGTCAAATCTACAAGGTTGGAACAAGGTGAAGTACAAAGATGAATAACTAGATCTATATTACATATAATAAATTAGCGTATCAAAGAAAGTCTTCTCTAGATAATCCATTGGATTTTACAGTCTGTCTAGTCATCAGAATTAAGCCCAGTTGTAGCATGGGCTGCTTTCTGAATTTGTAATAATAGATTAATATCAGACGCATATTATGTGATGTGTCTAGCTGAGAAAGTAAATACCTAATCCATTTGAAATTTTATAGGATACTATGATTAGTTTGAACTCGCATGCTCCTGCAACAGAGTTTCAAACTCTTTTCAAATCAGATATGCCACTGGTGCATTGACCATAAAAGATGGCTCTAGTAGGGTGGCAACTAAACTAGAAACTCCTTTCTGTGTTCTAACTAAGAAAAGATTCTTTGGTAAATCTTGTACAGTCTTAATATTAGGACTGACAGTGCCATATCCTATCAGGAAAAAAGAATGATTAAAAGGTATGACATATAGTGTGAGAATAGTTTGGTAGATAAATTGGCAAATTTGAAACAGAAATTACTTTAAGATGCCATCTCAGCATTATCTCCTGGCACATAAATATATTTGTTAACCGGCTTAGAACCTTGGCAGTGTGGAGAGGCAGGCATATATTAGTTTCATATTGCTATGATCCCACATCAAGGTTATGTACATAGAAAGAATTACTTGTTACATATGAGTATGATTGGGAAAAAGCTGCTTACCACCACAATCTACTCAGAGCTAGCAAGTAAATTGACTTGCTAGTGGCAGTTATATAACACCCACAGAATCACTTGCTGAATTGTGCTTAACCAGTTCTGTACGCTCCTTTGATTGAATGGATCTTCTCTAAATGAGACAACTAGTTGGATTCCGCCATAGAATGTGGGATGAGAAATCATGTCTGAATAACTATTTGGGCATGTGAAGGAGGGATCATGGAAAAAGTGTTTGTGGAAAAAGGTCATTGCTTCTTTGGAATGAAAGGTTTAATTTCCCCTTTATGATGATTTATAGATAATTTCTGTGCATGTTAACATGAAAGTAAATCTCACTGAATTTAGTGGAACTTATTCCCAGGGGTATACATGTAGCATTGCAGCTTTGGAGATGTATCTAATGTACTAAAAGGAATAGCTTCATTCTTCTGAGTTTTTTAATTTGTATGTGAAATTGCTATATCCCATGAGTATCTGTGACGTCATCGGTGTAGGTAATCTTTTCAAAAATGCAAATCACCCTTGTTTCATATTGTCATTGTGTTCACAGTAGTCAGTTCTTCTAGTGGCTATCTTTTTGGTGATAAGCTTATTGGCTTTTAATTAGACTGCTCCTTAGACAGCAATCATGCAGTCTTGTTGCTAAGGGTGTACTTGGAGTCTTATTAATTCTATAGAACCTGCCAGAGCTTGTGCTCTGCTCACATAGCCTCCAAGAGTCCTGGGCCACTTCCATGCCACAATGTAATAACAGAGTAGAACTTTGTAGATGAAGCAGCTATAATTTTTGTACTAGTACATTAGCTCATTCTGTTCGTAATTAGTTGAAAACTACAAAAACGTTTCTGTGCTTCTCATTATCCAGCACTTTAAGGATCTGATTCGTTTACGTCGGACTGCAGAGTGGCCTCGTTCTACATTAGACACTGAAGTATCAACTACAAAAGAAACTGTAGAAATTGAACCCCTTCCATTTACATTGGCACATGAACGATGTATCTCCGTAGTACAGAAGCTGGCTCTTTTTCTGTTGTCCATGGATTTTACATGTCATGCAGATCTGCTGCTATTTGTGTGTAAGGTACATGATACATTATATGATTATGTAATACATAAGCTAGGGAAGATCAGTGTTTCAGATCCCAACACCTGGATTTTAACATGCTGCATTGAATTCACAATGGGTATAAAATTATTTTTACTGTTTATCATATATTTAGTAATAAAGTAAAAAAAAAAACTACAGAAGAATCCATGTGGTATAGTGGAAATAGGTTGGGAAAGTTGAACTCCTTGGACAAACTTAATTTCATTTTCTTAACAGTTGTTTTGCAATGAAATTACAAAACTTTCCATATGAAAAATCCATGATTTTAATAATAATTTTCAGCACACCTTTCATACAGCAGAAGGAATTTATCTGGGAGACAAAAACATTTGTTACACTTACATCAAATATGACTGGTCTTTAAATTAAAATATGCTTTGTCATTTCTTTTCTGAAAATATAAAATCAAAACCTGCTTTCTGTGTTCCTCCTGAAGCAAAAACAGTGGATTGTATCCACAGTGATTGTATCTTATCAAGAAGGCCTTGTGTTCATACACATTTTACACTAGTGCTAAATTTTAATAGGAGAGAGATGTCTTGTCTTTTTTGACCATAATTTTTACACCATAGCTTTATAAAAATTAAATTGGCAGAAATAGAAAATAGGTGCTTCTCTCCCTAGCCAGCTGCAAACAGAAAGGCATGTAATTTAAGAGCTGCATAAGATGTAATAAACACATTGGGAAAGCAGCTATCATGTTCTCTAGACTCGCAAAGAGAGTATGGCTTAATAAGAAACTGACAGCATATACCAAGATCCAGGTCTATAGAGCCTGTGTCCTGAGCACACTCCTGTACCTCAGTGAGTCCTGGACCCTTTGTGCATGGCAGGAGATGAAGTTGAACGCAGTTCATACGCATTGTCTCTGACACATTTTTGGCATTGCCTGGCAGGACAAAGTTCCAAATAGAGTAGTCCTAGAATGAGCTGGAATTTTTAGCATGTGTATATTACTGAAACAGTGACATCTATATTGCCTTGGGCATGTCATGAGAATGGCTGATGTTCTGATTCCAAAAGATCTCCTGTATGGAGAATTAGTGCAGAGAAAATCCCCGGAGGGAGACCACAGCAGTGATACAAGGATGTTTGAAAGCGGGATCTGAAGGCCTTAGCAATGAACCTCAAAAGATAGGAAACTTTGAAATCTGAGCGTTCAGCCTGGAGGCAAGCGATGCATCACGGCCTCTCCCATTTTGAAGCGACCCTTGTCCAGCAGGACAAGGCAAAGAAGCAGGCCCGAAACCAGCCAAATCAGGGAGCTGGACAGGGGACAGATTGTATTTGTCTTCAGTGTGGAAGGGATTGTCACTCTCAAATTGGCCTTCTCAACCACACTAGACACTGTTCCAAGACCTCTATTCAGAGCACGTTACCATAGTCTCTTGAGACTGAAGGATGCCTAAAGCAATATGTAATACTTGGTACAGCATTCTCTTTTCATATTCTGCTGAATGTCTAGCAATATGTAATACTTGGTACAGCATTCTCTTTTCATATTCTGCTGAATGTCTCTTCCATCACTAGTAGAGAAGTGATGTATTTGCCTAATATAATTACCATACTTACTGTGAATCCTAAAGCAGCCATTCTAAAGCTTAAAGTATTGTTTGTTTTTATGGTGCTTTTTGACATATATACCTTTTGGCTGTTCCAGCGGCCATTTTGGACCCGCCGGACAGCTGATCGGTGGGTCGCAAAGCGAAGGTCGGTAAGCGAACCGCTTACCGACCTTCGCTCTGTGATTCCTGCCCTATCTAGGTGCCCTTTTGCAATCGCAAAAGCGGCACAGTTGCGTGGATTCGTCGCTCTACGGAGCGACCGTTCTGCGAGGCACCACTATATATGAACATGTATTTTGTGAACCACAGATTTTCTAAACATCTGAGAAGCACTTTAGGCTTTACCGGGCCAATGCATTCTTATTGGAGGCTCGTCCCTTAATTAAATTTTGTCTGAAGGTGCCAGTTTGTTTTTATATTCTTGTTGTTTTTCATTAGGTACACAGCATTTCATTTTTGAAATTCAATTCCAGGTTCTTGCTAGAATTGCTAACGCCACAAGGCCTACAATTCATTTGTGTGAAATTGTGACAGAAGCTCAGCTGGAAAGGCTGCTGCTGCTTCTGGTTGGAACAGACTTTAACAGAGGTGATATCTCTTGGGGAGGAGCTTGGGCTCAGTATTCTCTGACGTGTATGCTGCAAGATATTCTAGCAGGTATGTTAAAATCAGTCTTTCCTGAAACAAAATGCTAATTGTACCTGGAGGAGGGGTGGGCAAGGAAAAAGGAGCCAGAGAGCCAGTATACAAAGGTTTGATGAAAACAGGGGCAAACATTATCGACTTGGCAGCTTCCAATAATTTGACTTTGTTTGGAATGGGCAACGTCATGTTTTCCAGCTACCTGTATAAACAGAGCCATTAACAGTTAGATAAACCATGGGGAGTTAAATGGCAAAAATCAGCATTGCAGCTATCATCAATAATTGCTTCCTTTTGGTTACTCAGGATTGGGGTTTGAGAAAGATGCATTTTGTTCCTGTTTTTAATCAAGGCTGGGATGATGTTGTTGTCTCTTTAGCATTATAAAAAGTTCTCTACTTGATGGTGGGGTCCGATCTTATTGAAGTTATTGAAAACTAAAGCTATGAAACTAAATGCCTGCAAGATTTAGGACTATAAATCTCACAATCCCTTCATTATTGGTCATATTGGTTGGGATTATAGAAATTATATGCCAGAACATATGGCTGAAATTGACCAATTCTACGAAGGCTTAAAACACCTTCTAGTACAGATACCAATGAAAGATGCTCTTCTCATTATAGGGGGTTGGAATGTTAAAGTAGGGAGTCAGGAGATAAAAGGAACAATAGGAAAGTTCGGCCTTGGAGTTCAAAATGAAGCAGGGCAAAGGCTAATAGGTTTTTGTCAAGAGAACAAGCTGGTCACCACAAACACTCTTTTCCAACAACACAAGGCAACTCTACACATAGACATCACCAGATAGGCAATACCGAAATCAGATTGATTATCTTCTCTGCAGCCAGAGATGGAGAAGCTCTATACAGTCAGCAAAAACAAGACCTAGAGCTGATTGTGGCTCTGATCATCAGCTTCTTAAAGCAAAATTCAAGCTTAAACTGAAGAAAGTAGGAAAAACCACTGAATTAGTCATGTATAATCTAAACCAGTGGTTCTTAACCTTTGTTACTCGGATGTTTTTGAACTGCAGCTCCCAGAAACCCCAGTCAGGACAGTTGGTGGTGAAGGCTTCTGGGAGTTGCAGTCCAAAACTCCTGAGTAACCCAAGGTTAAGAACCAGTGATCTAAACCAAAGCCGTTATGAATACAGAGTGGAAGTGAAAAACAGATTTAAGGAATTAGATTTGGTGGACAGAGTGCCTGAAGAACTTTGGA